ACAGCTGCCAAACCAACAAAGGAATGGAAACATGCAACTAATTAAGGTAAATCAGTAATAGCAACTCTTGTAGCAACAGTACCACCAATAGTAGCTCCTAACATAACCATAGATGCCCATTAAGCTAATAATTCTGGAGAAAATCCTTTATATCCTAAAGTTGCAGCAACACCTAATCCAACTCCCAAACATCCAAAACTATTACCAATTCTAGCTGTTTATTATTATGCTAATCCTCCAATAGCTAAGATACAAGCAATTGAAGATGCTAAATAAGATAGATTTGTCAATGGTTCTTTAGGAATTCCATAATAGAGTCCACCATAATATCCAAGTACTCCTGTTGCTCCTGCTAATGCCATCAAATAATTATATTCAGGAGGATCAGTTGGTCTTCTAAACATATTTAACATTCTTTATGTGACTAAGAAACCTCCTGAAATATTCAATGATGCAATTGCAACAGAAATAGCTGCTAATAATCCAGTTAAAGATCCTGGCATATATTTTCCATCCATCAATTCCATACCTCCAACTATAATTATACCAGATACTGCATTTGTGACTGACATTAATGGTGAATGTAAGGCTGGAGTAACACCCCAAACAACTTAATAACCTACTATTCCTGCCAAAGCAAAAGTATTCAACATTTTTAAGAATTCCATGTTTGGAGATTAATAACCTAAAGCCATCATTGCCATAAGATATGCTGATGTATTGATAACATTCTTCCAAGCTTATTTGTATGGATCTACTTTAATTTCTTGTTTTTTATGTGAAGCAGCCTTTGATGTATCAGGTTATTATAGTTCACTTTTAGATGTAATAATAGGAGGAGGTGGCCATTTGAGTTCTCCATTTAATGTAACTAATGATTATCTAACAACATCATCATTCAAATCAACTTATGTAATATTTCCATTAGGATCTTTGATAGTTCCTACAATATACTACATTAATTTTCCAATGTTATTAGCATAAAGAGTTGAACTTTAAGTAGGTAATCTACTTGGTAAATCTGTATAACCAATGATTTTAACTTTTCCTTAATGATTATATAATTCTCCTGGTTTACATAATTCACAATTTCCTCCAGTTTCAGCAGCTAAATCAACAATGATTGATCCTTATTTCATATTTTCAACTAATTCTTTTGATAATAATTTAGGTGCTGGTCTTCCTGGAATAAGTGCAGTAGTAATAATAATATCAACTTCTTTGGCTTACTTTAAGAATAAAGCTAATTCTGCTTCTAAATATTCTTTTCCCATTTCTTTAGCATAACCACCAATACCTGCTCCATCAACAACTTCTCCATTAATTTTGACTTCTAAGAATTCAGCTCCACAAGATTTCACTTATTCTTTAGTAGCTAATCTTGTATCAAATGCTCTTACAATAGCTCCCATATTCTTAGCAGTTACAATAGCTGATAAACCAGCAACACCTGCTCCAATTACTAATACTTTAGCAGGTGGTACTTTTCCTGCTGCTGTCATTTAACCTGCAAAGAATCTACCAAATTCATTTGCTGCTAATACTACTGCTTTATATCCTGCAATATTTGCCATTGAACTTAATGCATCATATGTTTAAGCTCTTGTTATTCTAGGAACACATTCCATAGCAAAAGTTGTTATCTTCTTCTCTTACAATTAATTAAGTAATTCTTTATTTTATGCTGGGTATATGAAAGATGTCTAGATTTAATATAAATTAATATACAAGTGTTTAATTTTCTTTTAAAACCTTTGTGTTTTCAGGAGGTCTAATTTTTAATATGACATCTGATTAATCATAAACTGCACTTGTATCAACTACTTTAGCTCCAACTTCTTAATATACATTATCTGCAAAATTAGCCTTTAAACCTGCCCCTGTTTCTATCAAAACCTATTATGTTATAATTGATATTTACTTGATGACCATCTTTGACTAAATTTTTTATTGATTCAGGTGTTGCAGCTACTCTATTTTCATTTGGAAATGTTTCTTTTGGAACACCAAATACAAATTTTGGGTGGCTTGGTTTCTTTTCAGCTTTACCGGAAAAACATGTTCGAGCACTTAAAAGCAATTATCTTGTAGCTTAACGATGAAATGAGAGCATTAAAAAATATCTTTTTTTATTAAACAATATTCCTATATATATACAAATTTATTTATAGGAAATCTTGGTAATATAATTTAATTCAAATATTGTTATGAGAGCTTCAAATTCAAATTAAGGATAATCGTCTCTCCCTGATAGTAATGAAATCAATGAATATATTAAGGAGTACTTAAGGTATTCTAATTATTCCAATTCCCTGGAATGTTTTGAAGCTGAAATTAAAAGTAAATAGGTTTCCAATAAAGTACTTTATTAATTTTTAATCTAGATGCTAAACAAATAATAAATTATTAAACAAACTGGAGATGATTTACCACGTATATTTTAATTGCTAAAAAGTGATAATAATAAAACAAAAAGAGAGATCAATTTAGAAAAAGAATAAAAGTAATTTAATAAAAAATACTAATAAATTTTATAAGCAGGTAGATAAATCTTTTCAGTAAGCATTAATTTATTGTAATTATTGCATTCATTAAAGGAAACAGCTAAAAATGAAAATCTCAGTGAAACTTTAGAAAATTATAAAATTTAACTTGGAAAATATCACAAAGTAATAATTAATGAAGGCAAACCAGAAGGAACAGAATTGATTACAGAATAGGTCATGCATGAGCATAAAACTAAATTATTTAAGAACTATTAGGATAAACATGTAGATGGAATGATCGAGGTCTTACTTTCTTTAAGAGTAAATGCTTTATAAATTGCACCAGAATTAAGGAAAAATCTTGTCTATGAATTAATTAGAAATGATGTTTTTAATATAGAAGCTACAGACAAATTTGATTTTGTAGTTCATTTATTGGATATTAACAACCAAAGTCTTAGACATGCAATTACCAGCTTAATTAGTGTAATAAGTAGTACCTTAAGAGGTGTTGAATATTTAACTTATAATGGTAATATGATTATAATTGAAAAAATAATTAAAATTTTAAAGGAACAAGAAAATGGTTCTGTAACTTAAAGATTTTGTTTGGCGATATTGTAAAAGGCAAGTATTAAAGATACAGTAATTCCAACTTATGTACATAATGAAATGATTTAATGGATAATTAACTTAATTTAAAAATCAGTAAATAGTAAGATTCATGTATTTTGTCTTGATTTTGCTTCTGCTACATTGGCTAATATTATTCATACTCCATATACTTTATAATATTTGGAACATTAACCTAGATTTGCACATTAAGTGATGGAATAATTATTAAAGTTCATCAAAGATTAAATTTAAGTATCAGTCTTGATGCATGTTTTGATTTGCTTGTCTTATTTGAGTAAAGAGAATTTTGCTAAATAAATGGAAGAATGTAGATTTGTAGATAGAATAAGCGAATTTGTTGAATATTATAGTGTTATAAATACAGGTATGTATATTATTTATAATCAAAAAAGAAAATGAAGCAGCAGAAATTGACAAAAAAACAGTTTTAGACTTGTGTGCCCATATGTTTCATCCAAAGGACACTTCACTTGACAATTCTGAAACACTTGAATTAAATGAATTAAAAACTGAAGATAGAATTAGAGAATATGAAAATGAATAAGGGGAATTAATTTTTGAATGTTTCCAAGATGAAGTTAGTTGAAAATTTCTATTTTTGTTTTTATTGGTTATTCATTTAATATTAACAATTTATATTTATTATATCTTATAGTATTTACATGATATCTTTTATCAATTACATTATTATAATTTTAACAATATAAATTACATTTCTATAATTATTATTGAGAATCAATCTATTTTAATTGTATGAATATATTAATATGAATTATGCTAATTTTTTCACTAATTATTTTTTTTCAGATTTGTATCCATGATGAACTTTCCGGAAATTAAAAAGGATGAAAAGTTGATTTAACCTGCAAATGTATTATAGACAAATTAAATCAAAAAGAGAAAACCTATTGATTCAGATACAAAAACAAATCTGATACATAGTGTAATTAAAGATCATTTACCAATTTATTAAGTATTAATCTTTATATAAATGAATAGGCAGCCATAATCCATAAAGTTAAATATTCATCTGCTAAACATATATTAAGAAATTACTACAGTGACACTGCTAATTATTTCTCTGCTCAAAAGAAGAGAAGGAGAAAGATTATTTGCAGTGGAGCCACCATCTTAATTAATACTAGTAGTGGAAATATCATTTTATATTCTTCATAAAGTTAACAAATTCCATATTTAAACAATGGTGTCAATGCCCAAATTAAATCAAAAGTTCTTGAAAACCTTAGCTTATCTATCAATTAAGAATTCGATACAGGAATAAGCCAAAAGTTATTTATGTAATAAAATTTTGAGACCATTAAATAAGATATTAAATCAGAAAAATTAGAATAAAAACTAAAATCTCTTTTTAGAACACTTAAAAAATAACACAAGGAAATGGTTTCATGATATCAATTACATACCTTTATTATATATGTTCTATTTAAATATTCTAGAATTTCAAATTAATATGATTGGATTTTGATTAAATAAAAAAAGATTTTTTAACAATGACTATAAAAATGATTTATCAAAAAATACATTATAAAAATTAGCAATAAACTTAATTATAAATTAATGTTAAAAATTTATAGAGATAAAATTCACCACTCTCCCCAATATTTTTAAAGTATATATGTAGATATAATTGACAAAATAATTATATCAATAGCCTCAATTCTAATGATTTAAGAGAATATAAAAAAAATATCATAAATAAGGATAATAATTTCATCTTACCCAAGTCTAATAAAATCCTTCAAATCTGACTTATCTCAACTTTAGATTGTAAGTTCGTAAAAAAATTTTTCTAAGACTATTTCCGAAGTTCTTATTAAATTTAAGTACTTTGACTACTCTAAAAAAGAAGAAATTTAAAAATAATCAATAAAATTTGATCTTTAAATGATCATTGAATGATCTCTAATAATAATCATATTTCTACCACTTTGAATTTAAATTAACTAAAATTTTAATTATGATTGAAATTTAATTGCTTATTTACAAATTTAAGTAAATTTTTTTTTTTCTTCTACTAAAATAATCATCAAAAGTTTATATTTAATATTTTAAGTAATTTAATATATATTTATATAAGAATTAATGATGTAATAAAAAAAATAACATCAGAAAATATATTCAAATATTTTTATTAAAATCTCATTCTAATTAAGAGTACAATATTGAAAACCATATCTTTTAAGTTATTGTTTATTAACTTTGTTATGTAAATCTAACCCAATCACTATTATAGCTTTCTAATGATATTTTTTCTGTGCTCAAACCTCTTTCTATTGCATACTTTTTGTAATTTCTATCCTAAAAATCAAACATTAAGTCCTAAGCATTTATCTTTGATTAGAAAAATCTATTACATATTAAAAATATTATTCTAGTTGGTAGATCAATAATTTCTATCTTAAAAACTCAATAAAAAAGGGTCTTCCAATATTTATTATTTTATAAGGATCTTAATACAATTTTCTTTTATTTGAGTTGATTACATAGTGGTAAAAATTATAACAATAATTATGAATGTTAAAAATAAAGTGGTAAATTTTATTAGGTACATTTAACAATGAAATGTATTCCATTTAGAAATGCTAACATATAAGATATAACTAATCTGAATTCAAATTTTTAGTATTAAATTATGATTCATATAAACCTTTTTTTAGAATAAAGAGTTCTTTTAATTGATTAGGATTAGCAAATGTTGTTATGATTTTTTACTGTTAAAATAATATCTTTGAGGCTATTTTTTATTGTTTTAATTTATTTGTTTGTCGTTATTAATATTAATCTTCGAACAAAAACTATGTAGGTATCGCATTCGGAAACAATGATGCATAAACTGGTAAATAAGCAACTGCCCCTGGTAATATAAATAAAAATAGGAAAGGAAAAACTTTTAATAATTCTCTATCAACATGGAATTTTAAGTATAACTAATAAGCAGTAAATTAATCTCCAAAAGATTTAATTAGTTTATAGTCTGTATAACAAGACTTAATACCCTTTTCAATATATTATTAAACTTACATATTTTAAAGTTCCTATAAATAATTGGCTTCCAACTTTTATTTTATCTATATATGTTTTGGGCTCAGATATTGTGACAATTTTATTGTAGTTCAAGACTTAGAATTAAAGTTTTCTAAAATTTTTAAACATATTAATAAATTTTATTAAAAGAGAAGATTGATTTAGTTGTATATAAAGAAGTTGATAGATTTAATTACAAAATGTTATGTTTTTCTTTTATCAAAAATATAATTGTGGTAGAAAATGAGAAAGAAATGATTATATAAAAATTTTAAAAAAGTTAATAGAAAAAAATAAATTTTATAAAGCTTATAGCATAGAAAAAGTTTAAATCAATAACTTTGATATATCATTCTTTTTAATTTGTTTTTGTCATTTCAAACTTTGAAGATTTTAATTTTAAATATTACTTCAATGAATGATTCTTTCAATTCTTCAATACTCCTTAAATTAGATTATAACTTACCTAAAGTAATTACACAATATTATTTGAAATATGTATGAAACTAGTTTATTATGCTTATTAACATAAAAACAAAGAAATTATTAGAAATATATATTATTAATAAATTTTATATGTCAATTCGTTAAGAGTAATATTGTCTAATTTTATAATAGGTCAGATCTTAGTTGTGAACTGCTGAGGTCCACATTATAGGATATTAATAATAGATTAAATAATTTATAATAATGTGTTCCAAATCTTCAAAATAGAAGAGACATAATATAGAAAGAAGGAACAATTCCTAGATTAAATTTACATAAAATTAATTCAGTGTATAAAGAAAATTAATTGCCATTAAAAAAAGTGACAGCAACTTTTGGTGACAAAATAGTTGATTAAGAGGAAAAAATAGAAGAAAAAAATATATAAGAAATACAAAAGAAACCTTAAATAAAAATGATGGTTTAGTAAACACCATAAAAAATAAGAAGCCATTCAATAAATGGTTCATAACAAGTATTAAAGAGTTAGAATAATCATTCAATTTAATTTAAAGTGTCTAATGCATCAAGATTATAAAATTCTAATGATTTTTAATATTTCTAATCATTACATCAATCTCATGAAAAGCCTTTGAAATCCTCATTTATTGGTAGTTAATACAATTAAATAGCATAAAAAGATGAAAGTGTTGAATATGTTCAACCAACTCTTATGCAAAAACCAATATTAATTGAATAACAGTAATAAAATACACACTCTAGAAATAATTCATTAATATCTACACCTGTTAAGCAGGTAGCAAATGTATCATAAGGATAAACTCCATTAAGAAGGGGAAATTCATCTACTAATTAGAAAATGATTTAAACAAATTTAACCTAGAATCAGTCTTATTAATGTTTTTAAGTTTAACAATAAAAGTAATAAATATAAAATCAAGATTTAATTAAGTAAATAGTAAATAATATAGTAGAATATTGTAAACTCATTCAAACGTATATGGATAATCTTAAATTTAATATCATTCAATTTAAAATACAATGAACTAGTGTTAGAATTCTTAAAATACAGCCTAATTTAAAGTATTCCATCATAGAAATGCATCTAATAACACAAGAGTACCAATAGGATAAATGTTATATGGAAATTCAATGGTTAGATATTGATTTTATAAATACTATTACTTAAAGTTTCAAATGATTGCTTATTCTTTTATAAATATTTTATTTTGATTGATTAATATGTAGTATGTAAATTAATATTCACAATTTCTACAAATTTTTTAGGTTATTACTTAATGAAATCTTTAGCATGTAATAAATACAAAAATGATGAATAACATTCAGAATTTGAAAAGAGTAAGATTTTACGAGAGACCATATATCGTAAATAACAATCTCTTTAAGATGATTCTTAATTTTTTTTAATTAGAAAAGATTTAAAATCGTTCACATAATTAAAAGACATTATAGACAATAGCATTATAATTGATAGGAGATGAATTTCAAGACCTCTATGTAGATTTATGGATGACTTAAAAATAGTTAATTAAAATGACTAAGGTGCATAGATAGGATATTAATGCATAGTCAATTTATGATATTATAGATGCAGAATTTAAAGCAAAAAGATTAAGTGAATCTATTACTGTTTATAAAGCAGAAATAAATAAAAAAACTAAATAAATTTTAGTATTTTAAGCTGATATTTTAAGGGAAATTTGAAAATAAGATAATTGATTTTTCAACAAAAACAAATTAAATGAAAGTTTGAAATAAAACTTCCAAAATTACATTAAGTTTAGGTTGGAGCAGCAGGATCATTTATCGAAAAAGAAGCTATCAATTATGCTTTTGTTTAATAAACTAAAATGTTAAAACTAAAGAAAATTTAATTAATGCTATGGTTGCATTAACTTCCATTTTAGAATCTACAGTTATTCAAACCTTAATAGAAAAAAAGGAATCAATTAGAGTCAAATAAAGTGAGTATCAAAGCAGAAGCCAAAAATACTAGTTTATATGCATTTAATAAATATATATGAGTTTTACTGACACTATTGTAGAAGCCATTTTTAATATTGTTGAAAGTTTAACAAAAGAGAAATCAAGTGATTAAGAAGCTTTATAAATTACAATTAGAGAAAGAGATTTTTCAATATAAAAATATTCATGCTTCAATCAATTTTCTAATTTTATTAATTAGGAATTAATGCAGCCAAAAAATAAATAAACTTAATAAAGAAGCTAAAACAGATAAAATCTTAAGGATAAAATGAAAATTTGGGATTTTTAATTAAATTGATAAATGAACAAAACATTTTTCATTAAAAGTAAGCTATGGAATTATGACCCGATTCCCATGGCTTTAGATCTTCAATTATAGATGGTTCTATTATTATTTGCTTTTACAAAATTTATTTTTTTTATTTTCTTTCTTAAATTAATTATTTTGGTACTATTATGTTACACTCTTGAAAAGGAGTTAAACCTTATTTATTATGTTGATTCGTATATGAACGTTATTCAACTAAACTTATTTTTAAATTTCTTCTTTTTTTAACAATTTCATTCATATATTATTCATAAATTTAACATCTATTTTATGTCTTTTTTAAAATCTAGCTTTAATCATTTTTTACAGAATTTGATTTTATTTTTTATTGTTTATCAATAGAAATTTAAAATTTAATTGGATAATTTAATCTTGGCTATTATTGAATATTCATTTTATGCCCATAAATTGGAAATCCTTTGTTTTAGTCATTTTCCTATCTTATTTAAGTTTTACGAACAAAGAATCGGTAAGTTGCAGCTTGACTTTTAGTAATGTTTTGAAAATTCTCCATTATTTTAAGTATAAAAATTAATAAAAGATATATTTATTGATTATTCATAATTGTAA